ATGTGACTCACTCATGCTTCGTTCAAGTTCATTTAACGTGCTCGCATAAGTTTCCAAATGTCGGAATGGACGACTCAGATCCGATATTAAATTCTTCAGTGAATATCCTAACTCAACTGCGATCCTTTCATATTCACTTCTAAACGAAAACGAAACTTTTTAACATTTCAAAACATGAATTCACATGAATAATTCAATATTATAAAAAAGCCCTGAATATGAAGGAAACTTTAGAAGTGAAGAGATCGAGCTCTTCACATTACCAATACGAGTCTCCTCGAGTCATGATATATAAAACTCAACCTCCACATTAGTTCTTCATATTTTGGTTAAGGCATATGATATTTCCCAATGACATATAAATTCTCAATGACCCGTTTGCCAGGATTTCAATAAAGAAACAATACGTAAGGCAATGACGGGGCTCCCAACAACTATATGAATACATCAATAAAATTCTAATCTGAACCAGAATGTTCATTTAAACGCAAAATATAGAAGTAATTCAACGCGTTATACGCAAACATATCGAATACAGTAGAAAAGAAACCTATTTCGTAGAATCAAATCAACAGCTTTCGGATGATTTTCACAATAGAATCGAAGAAGTTGTCGCAGCAGAGGCGCTGCTCTCAATAAGATACCACCGATCTTTGCATTATTCGGATTACTTTGAACTGATTCGTTCATCTTCTCGAACACTTCACTTTGGTGTACCACCAGTAATTGTAAATTACCACACAACACTTGATAATTCTCATCGCTCACCCTTCAAGTCAACTTCTATTAAATTCAGTTTGAATCGGAAACATTTTCATTGTTCTCATTGATCTCAGCAAATTGATTCAGTGAACTCGAATGATATGATTCATTCAATTTTTAAAAAACCGACGTATGATTCATATGAAAAATTTCAATAAATGACTCACAATTTAGAAGTTTTCATTTTCAGCATAACATTATTGTAAAATTTGGTTATACTCTGCACATACTCCAATTCAGATTCCAGGAATCCTTTCATTATCTGCAAATGCAAATATATTCAGAAACGTCTGATTACTAAACCCAAATCAAGTTGAGGTGAAAAGTAACGTCAAAATGAGAAAATGACGAGTGAAATAACTTAAGAATGCTGCTTCAATTTAGATGGCATAATTTTTTGCCACTACTTCATTCCGTATGGAGTTACAAAAGTTGATCGCAGTCATTCCCATTTTAAATTCTAAAGGACTCACAACTATTCTAGTTAAGAAGTGCCTGACAATGGAATTATACGGAAGTATTTCGAACCTGTTGTCTGTACGCTTGTCGACTGGAATCTGCACCAAAAGAGGCTATCTGTTGTGCAGCCTGATCACCGTTTGTGAGAGGTGCGGCTGGGGCTGTCCCATCAGCAACACCCGCTCGTGGACGCAGGAACCGTTCTGAACATTAAATTTACATAACCAATTCTGTATTTCTTCACAAACCGTACTATGCCACAATATAAAATAAATCAGAAGAACTGAGAAATGCAATGAAGAAACTACCTGAAGGCGGTATAACAACCACGTAGTCTGAAGGAAACCATCCAGTATTCAAATTGAAAGTTCCTTCCCACCAGCCACCTTCCAGTTGTTGTGT